CGGTCTCAACTGTTTATAAGTATTCGCTGTAACATTATGCGTATTGGTGCCTTCGTAGAAATTCATATTGACTGTATTTAAAGTCGATAACCCCTGCATACTTATAAGACGACAGTCTAATTTAGCCGTTAAATCATTATCGACTTTTCCGTTGAATACTCCTTCCCAAGGACAACTTAATAAACCCATAGGAGATTCGTATGAGTACTCCGTCACCGTTGATCCGATAAGACTCGAAGCGTCCACTTTTGTAACGAAATTATTTAACAAAAGCCAGCCTATATCGCCATCTGTTATTGTATCAGAAAGTGTCGAAGACGCTTTTTTGTTTGTGTGCATAGTACAATATACCGGATAATGCATAGGCAAATTTAGATAAGAACACGGTAATGAACTGTTATCTTCAAAATTAGGCTTACTAAAATTATCCGCGTGTACTCCATACATTGCCGATATAGCTTTTTTGAAAACGGAAAATACATCAGTGCTGACATTATTGGGTACCATAGGTTTTGTAGCATTGCCAAATTCGTAGGTACAGTTGGTACATCTAGTAGAGTTTAATACTGAATATCCCAACAGCGCAAATTTATTTTGATTCAATGTTGCCAAATTACTCGTACTGGCATTGGTTTCGAAGGCCGTTCTGGGATTACGCATACATACTTTAGCTTTTACCGATATGACTCGTACGCCTCGAATTAATTTAATGATATTCATTTCAGCCGGTGATAAGTAGAAAAATGGAAATTATACTAGTACACTCATAAGATTTGTTCCCACACGTTGATAACCAGTTGGGTCAAGTACGAGCTGAACTGACGCAATACCGTAGCTGACGAAAGAATGATTTTTCCTAAAAACGAGTCGTTGTCCGCTTGACTGGTGGATTGCCCGATGTATAACAGCGTTTTCAAGATTAGGATTCCCAGTATCTGGATCACTAGCTTCTTCGTTAGCCGTGCCAGGTAGCTTCTTCTTCTTGGCTGCACTAGCCTCACCGCCGTCGGAGGTTCTTTTGGCTGCGGAGGCACCGGTAGATGTTGAAACATCGTCCATAGGCACTGAATCTATAAACAAATTTAAACCACGTCTCAGTCTAGTTTTATTGTATTCTTGCCACCAATAACGCTGTTGGCCGACGTTATAACGAAAATAACGTTCGTGTTCAGGCGGCGGTGGGTTTAAAGGCGGTAGCATTATTAAAAGAATTACCTGTAACGTGGTTTTTATTTCTAGACTTGGGCGTACTAAACCAATCGATTGTAGACTTGCTAGTAGAACTGGATGTAGGATAGACCGCCTTGTCTCCAAACACGAAGCCGACTGTTTGAATGTAAGTGTTTTCGAGAGCTTGTTTACCAGTTAAACCACCGATTAGAAAAGAGCTCTCTAGTGGATCTTTACTTAAACATTCCTTAACAGTATTGTTTATAGCTTTATCATCCAACGAGGCGATGTCATTGATATTACGTTGCCCGGTAACCGAAGCGTTGTGATAGTCGACATCGTGTTCCAAGGCTACCCAATCTATACAGTGTTGTGGTAATCCACATCCATCGATCCATGCTACCGCAAGAATCCCCGAGAGGAATTGAAAACGATCTTAGATCTTCATTTAAGAAAACGGTTACACGAGTTGATAAAGCCCGATCTCCATCACCCTAAAAAAATGATAATTCCACCCGAGACTCAACAGTAATATTATCTACTCTTACTATATCCACTACAACCTCTAAAGGTAAATTTATATTTCACTATGTACCGGGTGATTCATTAAAGTGGGTACACTCGTTATCTCGGAAAGTATAAATATTATCGAAATTTGTTTTCTAGAACAGTCAAGAAACAAGATTCTCTACAGTGTTGTGCTTAAATTAATTTTTGGTGAGCTTTATTTTTGGGGGTAAAATCATTACCTACTGTTGAATTTAAAATAGCCATCTATAATAAAAATCCAAAAAAGAAAGGCGCATTATTAAAAATAAATTTTGAATTTGAAATTTTTAATTACCTTAAGGTTGTTTACGAGATTTTCCACGTTAATTTT